CGCGCGCGCCTGGCCCGCCCCGCAGCCACACCGGCCCGCCCCGGTCCCGCCAGAATTACCGTCTGCGGGAAGGAGGGGCGCGAAGGATGTGCCCGGAGCTCTTGGCGCTCGCTCTCCGCCTGTGGGCCTCTGCTGGAGTTGAGAAACGGGTGCTCCCGCGCTCCGCGCCTTCGCGTTAGGCCCCGCGTGGGTAATAGACCCAGCGCTGGAAAGCTGCGGGCCCTCAGAATCATAAGAATAAAATGACTTGGGATGCCTCGAACCTGGTTTCCCATGTCGGCAGCCTACCCGGGGCACGTGCTCAGGAAAGGGCTGGGGAAGTTCCTGGGCTTCATCAAAGATTGGGCAGCTTTCCTGTTTATCGTCGTGCATAATTAAAAACTTATTATCTTTTTGCTAGTAACTTGTTAACAAATGTTTGATTGATTGCCTGTTGTGATACTGTCTGAACGGCATAACATAGGTCTGGGCTCCGAACCTTGTGAGTGAGGGGGAAATACAACCGATAAAAAAGAAACCCGAAAAGCTGAAAACTCTAGTTTGAGCTTTGTCGACTGTCTTACTGATTGGTCCTCTGCAGTCTGAGCTCATGCCTGTAATCCCAGGATTTTGGAGGCTGAGGCAGAAAAATCACCAGTTTCAGGCCAGCCTGAGCTTCATAGTCTCTACCAGCTAGTCGCTAAGTAATTAAGATCCTCTGCTGAAGTTGGTTGTTACCTGCCTCTCATCTGAAAAATGCCTGTGTATCTTTTAAGCAAGATGCATTACATACTGAAAATAAAGTAGATTATCTGTCACTTTACTAGAAGTCATACTAGATAAATGTCTCTATGGCAAAATTATATTTGATCAAAAAGAATTTGGGGTGCTGAGAATTGGTCCTACACCTCGTGCTTTATAGCAAGCACTATTCAGCTATATCGCCTATCCAGAAAATATTTTCCCTGATATTTTCTAATGGTCATTGCACCCTGGTATGCTACCCTGATAATCAGAAGTCCTTGTTTCCACCATCAACCCTGAGATAATATAATATACTTTTTTAAGATTTTTTTTTATGCATATGAGTGTTTTTCCTTCATGTATGTTTGTGTACCCCGTGCATACATTGCCCGAAAGGGCCAGAAGAGGGCGTCGGATACCCTGGAATTGAAGTCAACAGAAGGTTATTTGCTGCTGCGTGGGTCCATGTAAACCCTGGTCCTCTGGAAGAGCAAGCAGTGCTCTTAACCACTGAGCATCTCTCCAGCCTCTGGGGGCGGGGCGGAGGGGGGCGGTGAGAACTATTGATGTTTTCTGTAGTCTCAGAGTTCATCAAGGTATTTTATTTTAAGGCTATTAAAAAGAACATTTCTTCATTATAATTTTTGTAACATGACCTAAATCAAGCACAGCATCTCACTTTTGAGTAGAAATGCCTAATACATTAAGCCTTTGTCTGAAAGTCATCCTTTTTAGTGGTGTCCTGGGGCTTTGTTGTAGGAAGCCCTCCCACTTCAAGCATGGTACATAAGTCTTTTAATGGCGAATTATTTGCATACAGTTTATGCATCTGCTGATATAAGTCATCAGAATACCTACTACAATGTCAATGATGTGAGTATGGTTATTGTCTTGAATAGTTTTTTTTTTAATGATGTATAGAGTAGATGTGATCCTTTTTTTCCTCTCAAATATTTTCAATCTGAATTAAGTTGAATCTACAGTTGAACTCATGGATATAGAAGGCTGATTCTGATGTCATTTTGGAGATCAGAAAATAGGCTCTGCCAGAGATTAAGGGGTATAGTTCAGTGGCAGAGAATGCTTACCTAATGTGTGGGGTCCCAGGTTGGACCCTCAACACAGTGAAGTTTTCTAAAAAAGAAAGAAATCAAAAGCAGGAGACCTTCATAATGCCTAGACCTTACTATTCATATCATTAAAAAAAAAGTGTATGGGTATGGGTGTCACTGCCCATTTTCCATAATTCTTAAAACATTTGAATCTAGTCCAGTCTTACCATTCCTATTTTCAACATTAGAGCTGCTAAGAATAGAATGTTTGCAATATCTGTCTTGTTTTTGCTTTAGGAAACCATAGGTGGTAATGATAGATCATGAAAGTGGGCTACAGCTTTGTCCAGTGGCTCTTCTGTTCACTGGGTACCTACCTATTCAAAGACTTTAAGCCTATTCGTTGTTGTTATTATTGTTTTTAATCATTAACATGATTTATACTGCTGGGGGGGGGGGGCAAAAATCCTTCCTAGATTTCTGGCTGCTTTGAGGAGTACGGGCACTGGTCAAGCATCTACAAATAATTTGAGAATTATTTTATTAGAACATCTTGGGAGTAGACCTTGACTCCCCTCATTCGCCTCTTGTCTTGAAGAATTACATGAAGTTTCAGAATTGTAGCTGTTTTCAAAAGAAATGCTGATTGAGTGCATTTATTCATGTAGTTACTTGCCAGCTGTCATGCTTGGGGTAATGGTAGCTGTGACCCCAAAAAGAAAGTCTGCTGTAGTGAGAATGGATCTGCCATATTATCAGATCTTCTGTGCTGCTTTCTACCCTTTGCTGAGATTCCATTATGGGCTGTTTTTTCTTTTTCTGGATTTTCTCTGAGAGTAGTCAGCTATTTTCATGGTTTGAGAAGGTTATTTTGGGAGGGATGGGGGATATAGAGTTCCTGTATTACTTCCAGCAAAGCACTGAGTTACTTTGATTTATCTCCCCTCCTCCTCCTCCTCCTCCCTCTTCCCCCCCCCCCCCCCCCCCCCCCCCACCATCTCTCTCTCTCTCTCTCTCTCTCTCTCTCTCTCCCTCCCCCCCGCCCCCATTTGTTTTCTGTTAGGGTTCTGTGGTCTGACAGGAGGTGGTAGCACATGCTTTTAACCCCAGCATGCAGAAGGCAGATGGGCAAATCTCTGTGAGTTCGAGGCCAGTCTAATCTACAAAGAGTTCCAGGACAGTCAGAGCTGATACACAGGAAAACCTCCTTGGGGCCACGGGAGGGACTCTCAGAGATTCATGTACCTCCCCCTCCCAGAGTGCAGGATTAAAGCACTACTCCTGGCACCAACCGGTTTCTTATCAGTCTTTTATTCTAGAATTCTCAAAATTCTGTTTTACTCATTTACTTTTTTAAGCCTTGCTCCCTTTTCATGCTGTTTCCTCAGCACAGGTTGCTCTTTGGGCCTGTCGAAGCGAATGATGTTACAATGCGGGGTCACCTCTACTCTTTTTTTAGTCCTTGTTTTTGTATTTATGGGTGTTTTGCATGCAGTGCCCATGGTGGCCAGAAAGAGGCACTAGATGTTCTGGAACTGGAGTTGCAGACAAATTGTAAGCTACCATGTGGGTCCTCTGCAAGAGCAACAAGTGCTCTTTTTGGCAGGAAGGGGTAAGTAAAAGCTTATGGTTTTATTGTCTTAATAACAAGATCAGCTTAGAACTGGACTGCTTGGCCGTTTTCTCTTCTTGTCTCCTCTCAGTTCAAAATGCTTGCATGTCTTTCCAGCCAGCATTCCTTAGATCTGTACTTGGGCTCAGTGCACTCAGATCTCAGCACAGTCTTCCTTATAGTTTTAGCCTTTTTATGGAAAATGAGCTTAGTCTGCCCACCGTGGCCACTCCATTCTCTGTCACTTTGTGGGGCTGGTGCTTGCTACATTTCTTGCAGAAAGTCTAGCAGATCTTAGGAATGTTTGTCATGTTTTTGTGAGTGGTATTGGCACAGAAAGTGCAACAACCACGAAGCCATCTCTCCAGCTCCCTGACCCCTGGCTTTGGTTTTTGTTTTGAGAACATTTTATCCAAAAGTTTTTAAAGAAGGGTAGGTAGAATGTAAATTTCTCAAGTCTTTTCTTATTTTCAAAATGTGTTATTTTATGTGATAGATAGCTTTCTACCACTCTTAACAAAAACAATCTGAGATAACTTTTTTTGTTGTTTGTTTTTGTTTTTTCGAGACAGGGTTTCTCTGTGTAGTTTTGGTGCCTGTCCTGGATCTCACTCTGTAGCCCAGACTGGCCTTGAACTCAGAGAGATCCACCTGGCTCTGCCTCCCGAGTGCTGGGATTAAAGGCGTGTGCCACCACCACCCGGCTCTGAGATAACTTCTAATGAAAAAAGCTCATGTTTTCAGAGGTCTAGTCCATTGTTATGTGGTCTCATTCCTTTTGACATTATGACAACTGAGTATACAACACATGACCAAAGAGGCCTTTCGTCTCACAGCACCCTGAAAATGAAAGGGGGAGGGATCGAGGTTACAGTATCTGCTTCAACGGCACCCCTTACCTAACTTCCTTCCACTTGACCCACCTCCCAAAGTGTATATGGGAGTGTCTACATGTGCATTGTGTACCACTTGCATGCTTGGTACTCACAGGAAACAGAAGAGAAGGTCGGATCTTCTGAAACTGGAGTACCAATGGTTATGAGCCATCAAATGGCTGCTGGGAATTGGACTGTGTTCTCTGGAAGAACTGCCATTGCTCTTACTTGCTAAGCCATCTCTCCAGCCCACTTTGGATTAATGGCTCAGTGGGCAAGAGCATTCACTTTGCCAAGGTTAAGCTGGTTCCCCACCAGTCCCAGCTGAGAGCCCTATACCTAGTCAGGGCCTGAAGAAAATGATCCAAAGTTCAAAAAACTCTGTTGAGGAAGCTGTGCAGAATGTTTTAGTGACCACTGAAGTGTGGGTGTGGTGGTTTTATGTTGGAGAGATCATAGGTAAGCATGACATTGTTGGCAATAACATTTGAAGTCCTTCCAGACTTTAACATCTGATTAATATTTGATGTGTTATTTGAATATTCATAGACTGTGAGCAGATTAATCCAGAGAAGA